AAAAAAGAAAAAACGGAAGAAAGCTAGAAAAAAACAAAACAAAACAAAAAAACGTGCCGAATAATGCCGTCACCACGCTCCAGCTCGGCCCGTGATTGAAGCGGTTGAAGCGGGGCCGCGTCGCGTCAGCAGCAGTACTCGCAGCCGCACGGGGCTCGCGCCGGCGGCGCCGCTCGCGCGGAGGTCTGACTGCGTCGCACTCGGCCAGCCTGTAAGCCTGATTGGCAGCAGGAGGAAATGCTCGCCGAGCCGCCTGACCGCTGCTGCATGCCTCGCAGGGAAACGGCGAATGAAGAATGCCGCTTGTCTCTGGCTGCTTTAATCCGTCGTGAGTGATGCATGGTGTTTTCTTTTTCTTCTTTTGTCCTCTACGTAAGGCAATCAGCCGGCACCGGCGTTAATGAAATCCGGCCTCGTCCGCTTCAACTCTGCGTGCCTCGTCGTCAGTCGGCTCTCCGAGGCGGCCGCGAGGAACAAGGTGTGCCAGTGCCGGAGAAAGCGCCGGGTGTCTTCCGCGGGAACAAAGACGCGCATCTCGGCGACCCTCGGCGATCGCGGCCAGCCCGCCGTACGGCGCGCACTACCGCTCGAGTGCACCTGGGTAGAAGCCTCCCGGGGCGAAGGCGTAGGCGCCGCGAATTTTCCCATGTCGCTCGTTACTCCGAGGGTCCCCCGGCAGGAGGTTGCTCGCTGCCATGACGCCGATTTTCGGAGAGGGGGCCGTCGTGTCACGGCCTTGCCTCGCAGCCATCGCCACCGGCGGCCGAGCTACCAGCAGTGCGGTTTCCGAGCTGACGAGCTTGGGATGTGGGATAGGGCGTAGCGAAATGGGCCTGCCCTTAGGCCCTGAGGCCCTTTCGGGGAGGGGGTAGGAAGACGGGCCGCGTCGGGAGTCCCAAGACGGCAGGCCGATTTGACCAATCTGTTTGTCAGCTGTCTTGTTATTGGCTACTGCTCCGTGCGCTCTCTCATTTGGGGAAGCGCCGACGGAAATCCTCGATTGTTTGCTTGGCCTTTTTTTCTGGCTACTTTCACGCGCGCTTGCCGTGCACGGTTGGAGTTTGAGTGAAGATAAGGCGCGCTGCTCGGAGGCAATTGTTTTGTGGAACATCTGACAGGTTCCTCGGCGAATACTGCGAGAGATGTAATAGCGACGACCTTCAGCTCTTCGCCCTCTCCGTGAGTGCTTTGAGTAATTGGAAAACGAGGTTGGGATGAGCTGCCCGCTGCGACCCTGCTACCTTCGGCTACCTTCGCGAAGCTCCAGGCAACTCAATTTTCCCCCTGCTGTTATCTATCAAGCTGTCTCGAAACAGTTTTTCGCGAGGTAGTCTCGTTTTCTACAGAAATCAGTCGTGCATTTGGAGTTGCATATGGCGAAGAAAAGTGGCGGGGGGCGGGTGAAGGATGGCGTGCGAATCGATCAAACTGTTACAAGAATGCCCAGTTGTCTTTGAGACACATGCATATCCCAATCTCAATTCGCGGCTGCTGCTCCAAAGGTTGAGGCCATCCGAGGTCCTCAACTTTTTGGCATAAACAGCATAAGCCCATGTAGGCGTTGTATAGGGTAGACAACGTTCCTATAAAAAATATTAGTAAAAAAGAATCTGTCTAGAATGCATGATTGAACGTAAAGTTGCGTCGGCACCGACGCAAATTATACGTTTTCATTCAATGCGGAGGGCAAGTTCGTCTGCTTCTCGCGCAGGGGGTAGCGGTGACGTGAGAACGCCGAGCCCTGATTGGCTGATCGCGCCCCCCTATCTGAGCGTCGTCTGCTCCTTTGCAACGTCGTCTGCTCGCTACGTCGTCTGCGTCTGTCTTACCTTTCCTGCGACTTTCGGAAGTGCAGAGGCCAGATTCACGAAACGATCTTACGCCAAAAATGTGCGTAAGACAGAACTTAAGAACAAATTCGTATTCACGAAACGAAATTTTCGTAAGTTTTGCGCAGGTTACGACGAAATTCTGCGGCAGCTCCGAAGCTGTCTTACGATCAAATCAGCATGGCCGACAGCGTCGCGGTCGCGACGACCCACGAACGTTTATTTTTTTACATGCGCTTCTGACGCGTCCCGACTTCAAGCAGCAAGAAAAAAGTAAAAAGTCCTTGAAACAGACCACGACGAACAAGAACGCTGGATCCACAAACACCCGGGAAAAGCTCCCACGGCCACGATCCCACCGAACGCGACCAAACGAGCTGGGCAGTTAGGCCTAGCAGGCGCTCCGCGACTCGTCGACCGTCTGCCCACGACCGGCTGGCGTGCTGAGTGGAATATGCCCGCGCGACCCTTGTGAACCCTTCCCATATTATACTTTGATCGCTGACCTCAATTTTATATTAAGGGGTCAATTTCTTCCTCTTGTTATCTCCCTGTTTCCCGAGGCAACGGTGACTATCGCCGATGAAAAAGCGGTGAATCTCCGACAGACGCAGCAAAGGTAAAGCAGCCATCGCTTTGACTAGCAGACGTAAAGCAGACGACGTTAACTGCGCCAACCCGCCGACGCCGTTAAAGAGTGAGGGGTCTCGCCGCACACGAATGGAGGGGAAAAGTATTTGGGAGGGAACTTGCCTCGGTTCTAAGCAAAAAAACCTCGGCGCCCCGGGACACCTCGCCAATGAGCCCTTTGACTTCCCTCCTTGATGCGCGTCTGCTAGTTGTTAGACAAAAACAACGTACCGCTCGAGTTATTCCGTCTGCCCTCTCTTAAAGGTCGAGTTCGCTCCGAAAGTCGCAGGAAAGGTAAGACAGACGCAGACGATGTTGCGAGCAGACGACGTTGCAAAGGAGCAGACGACGCTGAGATAGGGGGTTGCGATCAGCCAATCAGGGTTCGGCGTTCTGACGTCACCGCTACTTCCTTTCTCATGCGCAGAAGACGAAAATGAGCCCACTTGCGAGGCGTATAGCGTGCGAAGAAGCCACCATACAACTACCGTCAACCTGTGAACTGCCCTGAAGTTGTAGATGCACGACGTTTAGCTACAGGGAAGCGAGTCAGTTGACCTCCGTCCGGTAATGAAAAAAAAAACCTATTCGCACTCTCTACCTGCTGCACTGGTGTAAAACGTCTAGTACGACGTACCCTGAAACGTGTACTCGGATAGGACAAAGCACGACACAATTAGCACGAACAAGACATATGCCATTTGTCGTAGTTTAATAATGCAGGTGTGCATTCAACATAATTCTAACCACCTATAGAATGGTGCTCCACGCGAGTACTACATGCCATTCCACCAAGGGCCCGTAAACTCGTCGAACACAAAGTTGGAGCCGAAAGTTCGCGGAGCGCGCCGATTGGGCGTCGGCGAGAAAAGCGCGAAGTCATCGCCGTGATATGCAGATCGGTGCGCCCCGTCAACTTCGGCCCCAACTTTGTGTTTGACGAGTTTAGAGGCCCAAAAGACTTGATACCAACCTTTGAGATATCATAGATGAATGGAAGAAACCGCGATTGCGTGCTCGCTTTTTTGTAACTGTGTTAACTGTGTCCCGCTCGGTACATTTCTGCTAGAGTTCCTGAATAGGCTCCGTATACGGGAGTCACAGTTGCGAGTCCATCTTCCACGTGTTGCAGCGCCACTATTCGCCGAGATCGATCACGGGAGGAGCAAAGAATCCAGCGCCGTGCAGGAAAGCCACCGACACGGTCGCTTCGGCGACGTTGCACGCGCCTCGGCGTATGTTCCTCTGCTTTGGCCTCCACTTCTCCTCCTTTCCTGTTTTCCATGCGCGGCGGAGCGCGCGGCGCCGCTATTGGCCGAATTCAATCACGTGACGAGCAAACAATCTAGGGCTGTGCAGGAAAGCTGGCGCTACAGCTACCCGCCGAGGTTGAACTCTAACCTCTGCTTCACCTTGTGCAATGTGGTGCAACTAAACGAAAGGAGTCACACGAGAACACAGATCAGCACGTGTGGCGGCTGGAGGGAGCACGTGAGCGTAGAGAGACTGCACATTTTAAGGCTCCGGCTCCACGGCGGTCATATTGAATGGCCGCAAAACGCTTTTGAATTCTTTAGGAGAAATCGTAAAATGCATACTGAAATGTAGCTTTACTAACATATTCTCCGTGTTCTTGGCGATTCGAGAACAAGCTGATATAGTTATGGGTTAATTATTTAATTAGATAATTAACGAGTAAGTAATGCCACGGGTTTCTCATTTTTCTCATATCTAACCCTAAAGGTAGACGGGTGCTTTTTACGACGCATGCTCAGTACTGTAATAAAAAAGAGAGTAAGAGATTTACAAAAAAAACTTGTTTGAAAGTGTATTAAAAAATTAACTTGAACCAAAAATTACTTATCTCTTAACATTATTATTGGAGGAGAAAAAGAAGAAACACGTGGCATTACCTAGCGTTGTGCATTGTATTTTGAAAAAAAAAAAAAAAAGTCAAATCTTTGAGTGTAGGAGACGTTAAGATAAATTATAGTAACAACAGAGACGTTTCGGAAAGTCTTTCCTTTCTCAGTGTGTACACACGGAGAAACGCAATACTCAATACCAAACGTCTGTGGATTAAAGTGTCCATAGTTACTAACATTTCTCTTAACGTCTTGAATTTCTCGATGAAAAATATTTTTGAGTACATTCGGTGTAGGAGACGTAATACAGCAATCATTGTTTGAAAACGCCGTCTGACGGCGCTCTCTAATGTCTGCTCCAATAAGATCTTTGATTAGGTTTTTAATATGGAAATAGCGTGGAAAACATATGAGTGTAGTTTCGGTGTTTTTAGGATACTTAGAGCCCGCAGATCGAGTTATTACCGTAAATATAGGATCTCAGAATCCACTTGAGTGCCCTTTTATATACACAATCCAAACGTTTAAAGTTTTTTTTTCTTCTTCTTTTTTTTTTTTTGCGGGGTTTGGCAGTGCATTTTGTCAAATTAATCTCTTTTTTTTTTTTTCTTTAATCTCGCGCAGGCGACCCCGATATCAAGGAGTCGAAAGGCGAGGGACGACAACCCGCACTCACTTTGTCAGCGTCTCTAATGACGAGGTGTAGATGGTTCCCCCGACGTCGATGTGCACGGGCGCCGTGTACCGAGAGGCGGCGGCCACGCAGGGGATCCCGGAGATCTTGGGACTGTAGTTGGTGTCTGGCGACGCCGACAGCATCAGCTTGGGGTCCATCCAGCTTCTGAGGAAAAGGCGTCGATCAGAGAGAGACCTCCACGCCACTTTTAAGCCACACTGCTCCATACAAAGAGAGTCCGCAAACACTGTTTGCGGACTCTCTTTGTTGGAGCGTTTTTTTTTTATTCTTACAGATTTGTTTTTAAAAAAAAGCCGTGAAAGTTACACTTATGCGGTTTGTGCAGGCCAGTTATACGGGTGGCTGATATTTGCGACAAGTCGGCTAATTAATTAAAATTCGTTCATTAACTTTTTAATTAGTGAAAATAGACATATGGTTCCAATGAGAAACTTGGAGAGCGTCATCGAAAACTACTAAATCAAATGTTTTTAGAACGACTTGAAGCTCGTGGGAAACTCGGGGGCGTGCCAAAGTTACCACTCGTGAAGCAGGCGCAAAGCTAGCAGTGGCGGAACGCGATGATAATCTTATCATCCGCGCTCCGCCACTGCTAGCTTTGCGCCTGCTGTAGCGGTCTCTTTTTATATGATGCATGAGCAGTGTGAGTCCAGCCCTACGGAACGACCGCAAATATAATCAAGATAACTGCGGGTGAAAACCGATTTTTGTATGCAATCCCTCCAACAGGGAGGCTTCAGCTGGCGTGTTTTGATGCGTAAGCAAAATGAACCACTATCAAAAGAGTGTAACTGATTTGTATTTGGAAGTGCCGTCGTCAACACTTTCATTTAGTGGCGATATACGGGAATGTGAACGGAAGCAGGAAATGCGCCCGAAAATGAGTACAGTGTTCGTAGACTGCGTGGGTTATATGATCTGTTCGGATGTCATTACTGGTTTTGCAGCGTTTAAACGTAATCATATTCGTGGATCTGAGATCATTTCGCAGTTAGCTTTAGCTTCGGATAGACTAAGAGGAATAGACTACATGAACTGTCGCTGAAGTGATGATTATACCGCGATAAGCGTATTCATCTGAAAATTCTGACACAAATATGCGCGCCGCGGAAGCGAGCGCATACGGAGTAAAAGCTCTAGCCTGAAGAGAAAGGAATTATGTAATGGTTGACAGTTCTTTTACAACTGCCAAAAATTATAAAAAAAATTAGTTTCTTCGGTTGGCATGCTCGTCACTCCACTCTTCTGGTCTTCTCCCACGGCCATCTTTTCGCGTTTTTCATGGTTCCCCTCAGGGGACAACCTAACCCGTGACCTCGTTCTTTTTTTTCTTGCTCGTGTTCTTTTATTCACAACGCGCAACAAACAAATAAATTGACGAGAAAAAATAAAATAAAAGCTATAAGCGATTCCGTTCAGTCCCACGTTTCTTGGGTGGTCACCATCTTGTTCTGCCACGGAGGACCCATCGCAGTGTTTTCTCTTCGTGAGCACGACGCTGTCGCAGGAATATATTCCCAGGCCGAATTTACTGGTAGATACGAGCAAGAGGGTACCTAACGCGCACCCCGCTGTCTCTTCGCCTAGCAAAGCTACCTATAGCTTACTCAGATGGAAACACGAAAGAACTCGATCGCGTCGAGGAAGTGCAGTCCCTGACGTGACCACTGGGATGACACTTCCCGTGTACCACCGGACACCCACCACACCGATGCCTCTTATTTGTCATCCCTCTCCCCAGCCGACCGAGAGCGCTCGAGCTTTGAGTTAGACATTTCCGCCTCCGTCCTATTTCGATACGACTTGGGTCGCTCCTTGACATCTGGCCCATGGTGATCGAGCGTACCACCACCGCACGACGACGAAATATTAAGAAACACGCTTAGAGACAGTCATCGTTAATGTGAACAGCGGCTGTATACTTCTGTAACACCTTCAGCAAGGTGGTTCTGGAAGCCGTTATCCGAAACGACCGATGTAATTATGGTCGATGAGACGCCATCAAAGCGGGTTTTCTGCGAAGCGCACGGACCATGCAGGCGTGTTCTTCGCGACCACCGCGGAAAACCCCTCCTCGAAACGCCGGCATCGTTTGTGAATACTACTAGTAGTAAACGGGCTGGACGTTTTATGACCTTCTCGTCTCGCTGCATTCGACGTTGTAACGGCTTTCGCTTTAACGAAGGTTGACTGGGCACGATCGATGTTGTGGCAGTTAATCAATATCATTCCTAGACATGCGGCACAACTAGATGCATCCGGGCTTTCGCTCGCACAATTTGCGTAAATGATCCACGACGGGACTCCTTCTCTAGACCGGACGTTTTATTCGCTCCTTGGAGGTAGGAAGCGCGACATCGCAGCAGGCGGAAGCGTCCCGTAATCCTCAGTAGCCGCCGATTTGGTCTCACGTGAGTTGGTCCGAACGCGGGAGCCTGTTTTCTCTTTAAAACATCGCTAATCGCAAGCGGGAATCTGTGGAAGCCCCGAGCTGCAGCACGCTCGACCTTGATGGATGGCCGGGGCGTCTGTCAGAGTGGACTGTTCGCCGCATGCGGCAGCGGACTCCGTGGGACAAGCGGGACTGATTGGCGAAGGCCGGGGGACGACGTAAGCCATTTCGCACGCGGTGCCCCGCGAGTCGCGCTGAGTTTGAGCGTTTGGGAATCGCTACAAGCGCTGTCTGTGACCAGCCTTTTCGAGTTAGCGAGTAAAGCGAAAACATGTTCCCCTCTTTGTTTTTGAAAAAAAGAAAAGAAAGAAAGAAAATGGAAGATGGATCTTTCCAACGGGAAGCTACGGAGAAGTGTACAAAACAGGTTTCCGGGCCGGCTTGACTGATGTCTTGGCTTTGCGAAACCGAAAGCGTCGTCTCCTCGTTGCACTGCGCGATTAAACCCCGGCGGCTGCTGTGGGGACCTATCCGCACGTGCGGCTTGGTTGCGGTTTTCCGCCCAAGAAGCCCCGGATTGATGGATGAAGCACGCTGTGGCGGCCCGTACGCCTATTCGAGCCATGACCGAACGACACAGTTTTTTGAGGCGGGAATAGGTTCGGCTCGGGGAATCAGCGCCGAAACTATTCGGGAATTGTTTTAGCAACAGCCCTCGTAGTTGGCACCGTACGAGAGGCCTTTAACTTTTGGGCTGTCGCAAACAACGCTGTGCTTCACGAATCCCTCTCGAGTTCCCGCGCAAACTTGTTTTGTCAAATTCGTTCGAAACATTGCGGCGGGGAAAGAACCCGAGTCGGAACGGGTTTCCGCCAGTAGCCAGGCGACCGGGACGGAAGAGGAACTTGAGTTCATCTGTCGCTCGCCTCGTACGCGGCCGGCGGGGCGGCGCTCGCGCGATCGCGCTCATTAGTGCGCGGAAGAGCTCTCGTGTGCTGCCTGGGGCGCTGCCCCGGAGCCCCTCGCCGGGGCAGCCTCCCGAAGTGGGCCACCGGCTCTCCAGCATTCGAGGAAACCAGCTCCCTCTCGACTCCGCCGCAGCCCGCCGTGCCCCCCGGACAGGACGTTATCTTTCGCTGGGGGAATTACAACGAAGCGCTGGCTTTCGTGTCGTCGCGCTACACTCGCCTCCTCTGTATTCAGAGAGGTCGCTTCGGGTCTACGGGTGCGGCCTCGGAACTTTGAAAAGCGCCTCTCGTGCTCGAGGGACCGCGTGGAGGCTCGCGAGTGTACCTGAACCTGTGCATCCCTTTAATTCACACACAATTCCAGCAAACCCTCTCCCTTCCCTCCCTCCAACCTCCGCTCCCCTCTCTTCATTTCTCCGACATACACACGCTTGTAAGTTGTACGCACGCGCGTGTACGTATGATACGCCCACGTACACCCCTGCTGTCCCCCGTCCGCCGTTCTCCGTTTCGTTCGGACGGCTTCCGTGCGGCGGCTTTGTCCGACCCTCGCACGGCGCTGCTGTCAAAGGCGGATCTTTCCGAATCCTCTACGACGTCTTCCTCCTGCTCCGTATTCTCGTGTTTTGCGAGACGAGGATGCATTACATCGCTCTGTCGGTCATTTCCAGGTACGGAAACAGTTAAGAGGGTGGGACGGGGATTCCCGGTGACGTCTCGGCGCTCACGCCGGTCGACTTCCCGGTGACCGATTGGGCGGCGTGAGGGATTTACCGCGCACCGCGCTGCGTCCAGATTCGAGAGGCGTCCGGTTGGCGGCCCACTTCGTCTCTCCGCTATTAATAAACCCCGGAGAAGACGTGCGAGGGACCCAAAGACCGGAGAGTCACCGGGCGACGGGTGTCGGAACTGCCGCTGGCGACGCCTCTGGGTTGCTGACTGGCCAAGTGCGTTGACTATTCGATCGTTTTCTTTCTCCCCCTCCGTGCAATGATGCCGTACGGAAACGGCTACGCCGGCAAAAGGTCGGAGGGTCGTCCCCATCCACGAGACGACTCGGCGTAGATCTGACGTTGAGTGGCAAGTGCCGTTCGCTGCACACTGCACACATTTAATTGATGCACTGGCTTGATATGCGGCAAAAGAAAGGTGTTATTCGATATAATCAACTGATGTAATTGCGCACCAAAACTAGAACAGTGATCTCGTCTGCTTTTTCCTACACGCAGCGAAAGTATGGAATGACCTTCCCCACAACATCGTTTCCCCCCATATCGTATCCTCTTAACTTCAAAGAGAAATTGAGCGAAGTCATTCTCACCGCTGCCTCATAGTTGAAAAAGTGAAGGGAAAGAAAACGAAAGTGCGTTCACAATGTTTTGTTTTTGACTGATTTCAGTTTAACCACGTATACTTTCTTGCTTCATTTTATACCTGTCGTTCTTGTTTTGTTTACTGATTTTACAAACGCGAGTATTAAAACCTTCTGTAATACCCTCCCTGAGGGGGTTTTGAAGGTCAATCGAAATAAATAGATAAATAAACGCTTCCTTGCCCCTCATCGTTGATTTGATCGAGAATATAGACTTTAGTTTGCGCTAACATAATGCCCAATCACAGAATTTCAGAGATTCAAGCGTAGCGGGATCGTGCAGATGTTAGCATCGCAACCACCGGTGCTAATTTTGTTGCGGTGGCAACAAGGTAGTGAAGATGCCACCTTTTTTTTAAAAAGCTTACGAAACAATTTACTTTTTATTACGAGTTCGTTGCACTCGTGAGCA